AAAAGAAAAACCCGCAGGTTTTAAAAAAAAACCACAAAAAAAGATTTTTTAAAAAAACCAAAAAAAAAAAAAAAAAAAAAAAAAAAAAAAAAGAGTAAGATTTACAATCATTCTGACTTTATTTTAAGTCAGTTAAACCATGCTTTACCGCAACCCTCCAATCCTGCACATCGTCTCTGGTGTTAATAAAAATGATAATGACCATTTACTGATTGATAGCTTGACAGGAAGAAAGGCAGAAAGAAAAGGGGAAGACATAAAGTAAAGGAATCAAACCCACTGAGCTCCAAACTACCACTGGTAGAACAGCTGATCTACCACTGAGCCACACGGGACACAATATATGCAGTTGTTACAGAGAAATAAGGAATGGTCAACATTGATATTAGAAGATCAGAATTTTCTAAAAAACTTGAAATTGTAAATTGAGCAAATGATTATGACTGATGCACCTCTAGAAATGAACAAAAAAATAAATAAATCAGATTTTAATGTCCGTATCAATGACATAAAATATTATATCAAAAAAGTTAACTGTGAATTTGATCAGACAAAAATTTTTTAAGTATTTACATGAGCAGAATTTCACATCCATGGTTATAATCACCAGATTAGCCAAATTAGCACCTATATTGTAGTAGAAATATCATGTTGTTAAAGAAGCAAAAAGATAATAGCTTTCAAACATCCTCCATCACAAAGAAGCACACATGGTGCCAGGTCCAATTACTGTCATTTCTCTTTTTACATAGGTGGATAAATAAGTCTAGATGAAGGTCATTAACTGGTCTGTGGCAATCAATCCTGTAGAGAGCTGAAATGGTTGTGAGTGTTGCATTCAAGGTGGAGCAGGGACAGGCTGCAATACAACACTCGCTAACAACACCGTCTTTCTCCTTCTGCGACAAAGTCACAGCCATATAACATGCAATTACCCCTCAGCACTGTCAGACATGTGTTGCATGCATAAATAGCTTTTCATTTTGAATATATATGGGTTTCTGGCTGTATTTAAAGGAAGGAGATGCTTATAAAACAGCACTAATGTATTAAAACTAGCTACAATCTCTTTTTATTGGCTTCACCGCCATTGCAACTGATAGTTTGGCAAATGCCAAAAAAGCAGCTTACAAAACAGAAGTAATACCCTTCACTTGGCACAAACTCCTGTCTTGTCTCTAGTGGTCCTTGGATTGTGAAAAGCACACATGTATTTTTCAAAGATCAAAGATCTATAAATCGTACACGGCTATAAAATGTTTAAATGAACTTGGCTTTTTTTTTTTTGTCTCAAAGGTGAAAGATGGGTGGCTTCCTTCAGCATGAAAAAAAGGAATGACAATCAACAAGAATTCATAGAAATATACATCAATAGTATTAGACTGATCAATATGAATTATGCAGGAATCTAAAAAACAGTTTCATGTGTAAATGCTGTGTGTCTACTACAAGATGACATTATACATTATATTGTAAAATTCCAAAATGCTTTAAACCTTAGAATAAAATATTAGTCGCTGAAACTCTTAATGACAAAGCTTCTGTCAAACTTGACTAAGGTTTTATAAAGTCACTGAAAAAGTTAAATATTGGAACTCAAAGTGTCACAATCCTGATCACCTAATTAGCCTGAAGAACCTGCAAAGATTTTCTGAGCCTCTAAATGGTCTTTTAGTCTGGGTCCGTTGGTTTCACAATTATCTAGAAGTCTGCTGATGTGACATGTCCAGAAATTGGTATCCTTGGCAAGGAAGGAAAGTCATAAGATTGCAAAGGAACTATTTCATTCACAGAATGCTGTATCCAAGCATATTAGAAATCTGAGTGGGGTAGGAAAAGACACAGTGAGGATAATCAGTCAGGCAAAATCCATTCAAGAATTTGAGGGAGCTTCATAAAGGGAGAATGAGGTAGGAGCTAGCAGATCAAGAGCCGAAACAAATCCTTGCCGGAACGAGGGACAACATCAGAGGTGTGAAAAAGAAATGTGCTGTTTCTCAGTAGTCCACAATACTCTTTTCAGATGAAAATAAAGTTTGTATTCATAAAAAAAATAAAATAAAATAAAAAATAAAAAATCAAGGTCCCAGGGTCTGGAGAAATATTGGAAAGGCACAGAATCCATGTTCTCTGAAGTCCAGCTTGAAACTTTAACCATCAGTGATGTTTTGGGACGCCACATCATCTGCTGGTGTTTTCTGACGTCCACAGTTCACACAGCCTTGTATCTGTCATGATTTTTCTGTTCCCTGCCATGTTTTGTACTGCTTCACTGTTTGTCCCACTCCTGCTGATTAGTTCATTGCTCTTTCCAGTACTATTTAAAGTCTATTTAAACACCTGGTCCTCAGTCACTCAGTGCAATATTGTCTGTCCTCATCCAAGTCAAAGCCTTCAAGCATTCCTGTCCCATGTTTCTTTTTTTCTTTTTTATTCTGAAAGTCTGTTTTCAGGCTCTTTATCACCGTCTTGTGTCTGCTCCTTGTCTGTACTGTGAGTTACACTAATTCTGGCACTGAAACTTGTTTCATGTACCTGAAAGCTGATTATAGCCTCACAGATTTTCCTCCAAGGAATCTCTAAAGAGGAGTGCCCAGGAAACCATCTTTTACCAAGTAAAGATTTTCTTCCTCCTTCTGCAATCTTCCAAGTTTGTTGTCTACACTACTTACCTGCTTGTTTGTTCCACAGAGTATTACCAGATAGAAGATCCAAGTTGCTCATCATCTTACACATTTCTATTATTATCAATTAATTTATTTAACCATTATTGGATTACCTGAACCTGAATTCCTGTACCAGCATGACCTGGAACTAGTCCTATTGGAAAATTGCGGTTGCGATGGGAGAGTCAATATTTCTCAAACATGCATTAAAGAATAAAAGAGAACTTTATGATGAAGGAATAAGATTATAACATGATATGAAGTCAAAACAGTCAACTTTACATCATACCTCACTTTAAAATATACCTTTTTCAATTATCTTATGCAATATTCCATTTTTGAGACACTGATATTTGGGGTTTTGTTGCCTGTAAGACACAATCATCAAAATAAGAACAGTATATGCAAGGAATCTGGGGGAAAAAAACCCAAAAAAAAACAAACTACTTTTTAAATGTACTAATGCGATATTTAATCAGCCATCACACTTAAAGTATGATTTTACAGAAAAAAGGTGAATGATATTAAAAAGCTGAATCATTCATGACAGAGGCCACTATTTACAGTTCAAATGGTGTCTAGTCGAATGGTAAATGGTCTGTACGTGTATCGCATTTTATCAAATCCAGAGGACCCCAAAGCAGTTCACACTACATTCAGTCATTCACAAACACATTTACATGCGGTTCCCTCTACTATCTCCTGAAACTATGCAGTTAGCTTTCAAAGATTACAAGACAGAGAAATAATCCGACACCCACCTGAACTCTCGTTCTAAGAGAATTTCATTAGAGCTAAAAAAATATGTACAAAGCTAAACATCAAAAGCAATAGAAGGAGCTCACTGTTGTAAGTGTAGAATGAATAAAATAGCACAAACTCAAATCTACTCAATATATTTACAGCACCATTCAAACACAGATTTCATCTCAAGATATTTTACAAAAAAAGTAATTTCCATTCAATTCCACATACATTACAATTAATCTTGGTTGTCAAACAGTGCACTAGGCTCACCTTATTATTCCCATTAGTTTAAAACGTTTACTGCCTAAGGAAACCCAGAAGAGTAAGATGGAAAATAAGGAGTTTAAAATAAGTCCCAGTAGTATTAATGTGCTGTTCCATCAGAAAAGTGAAGAGATGTATTGAAGTAAGTGGGGAATTCTGTCTACAAAACTAAAATTAAAGATACAGAATACAGAACATGGCAACTGTGTGTGCAAGCATAGTTCTGAGTTTTACCCTTTTATGTTTTTGTTGTGCAAAATATATTGCACCCACCTGGCTATAATGATGGTCTTTTTTGTGGTTTAGGACACTCTCTTAGCAACACAGCGCTCAACGCTGCTATGTTTTCCCAGCTCTGAGGTCCTTTAAGGGGCTTTTGAGGTACTGGAATGATAGGTTGTTCAACAGATTGGGAATGACTCTTCACTAGACTCTCAGTTAATATTACTTTGACCTCACTCGATCCTCTTCATACTGTGACTTCCAATATTGACAGACATCGTACACCTGCAGGATAATCAAGGCTGTGAGGAAACAAGAAAGAGGTAACAGAGGGAAATCCCTGTAAAGAAAATGCCTAGAGGAACCTGAGAAATAAATTTTCATTGTTCGAAAAAGACAAAAGGTCAGTGGAGGCTACAGGCAAAACACATCTATGTTTAAGCCAAAAACCCCAACATTCCTGAGGATTCATTTACACAAAGAGCATTTGGGCAACCGGTTTACTCAAACTCTTGTGACAAATTTCACCCACTTACTTGAAGAGCTCCTGCCGTGAAATGGCTCTGTTTGTCAGTGGATCGATGGCATACACCATTAGATCTGACTTGGTGTAGTCCTCCAGCTCAAAGCCGTCGCCGTAGCGACGTGGCCCGATCGACTCAACGATCACCTTGGCACCGGGAATCTGGTCCTGCACATGACGCTCTAGAATGCTAAAACCAAAAATTAAGTTCAATTTAATGAACAGAGGAACAATGAAGCCTACCTATTAAAAAAAATAGTTATTTTAGACAAACATAAGGATGATTTTGGTTGGAGACATAAATCTCGTAGAATTTGCACTGTTGGCTTTCATCAACTTTCTGACATTGTTCATAACCTTTGCAGTCAAGACACTTCCACCGTGATAACTGTTTGGTGGCTCTTACAAGCACTAAAAAGCAACTGGGAATGCATTCTCCCAGTTGCATAAACTTAAACTCTATCAATATATACAAAGGCATGAATCTGAACAGTTATCTTCTTTATTAATGGATTAACCCTCTTTACAGAGCATCACTGTCTGTTATTCTATACTGGTGTGGTAACGTTTTAGAGGGACTAAATTTGAGGTTTTCGTTAGCTTATAAATCACAATAATAAAGAAAACAGAAATACAGCCTGAAATATACAGCCTGCGTCATACATTTATGGGTTTCAAATTTTGAATTGAGCAACTGAATATTCTTGTTCACAAATGAAGGAAACGTGGAGTGAGTGAAAAATAATACAGGTCAAGAAAATGTACTATTTGACAGTATTCATAGACGTACATTTATATGTATAATATTGCGTAGGGTAATTATTTAACATATGTTTACTTCAGACAACATGAGAATGAGCACACACATAATTTATAGTCCTGCATACCCTCAACCATGCTTCTCTTTTTAAGTGAAACTGACGTATTTACTTTCAAATTTGAAGATTGACTCATGTCTTACCTAATGATTTCCTCCTTCTTCTCTTCTACTAAGTAGGGAGGGACAGAGGAGACAACGACCTGCATGTCTAATGCGTTGACTACTGAAACCTGAGAAAGTGAGTGGAGCACAGAGGAAGAAGGAGGTGGGGAGACAGAAAAAAAAAATGAGACCACGAGTTAAAAAGACCACAGGAAATCAAGATAAATTGTGATTAGCCGAGTTATTCATGTACCCCACTGTGAGTTTGGCCGACTCATTTAAATGATTCTTTTGATGCAGCAAGTCAGACCCGGTAATTGCCTGCTTGTATTGGTGCCATGCGGCAAACCTAGCAGGTCTATAATTCTGATGCCACAGTTAAGTGCATAGGCAATGGCCTCTGTGCTCTGAAGCCAAATCTCCCATGTGGCTCTTGGAAAATTAGGTTTCCCCTTGAAAATTAACGAGTGCCATGCTTATGCACTCGCCGCTCTCTCATATTCAGGCAATGTCCCAGACCCTCCTTCTGTCTCATTAGAGACCTGTTAGCCAGACATATTTCACTGCAACGGAAAAAAACAAAAAAACCTCCCCTGAGTAAGGGCAAAACCCCCCTCCTCCTCCAAAAAACAAAAAACAGAAACTGTATTTTATTTGGGGAACAGCAGAACAGAAACAGCGGGTGCTTGAGCAAATTATTTCAATAAAAGGCAAACATAAAGCAAGGCAGATGCATATATAATTTTGAGTTAATTTCTGTACTGAAACAAATAACTAATTAGATTATCAGCTAGTGGCCAAGGCCACACATTGAGAGCTTTTGCCCTCTGCAAATGATGCGGTTCACTAAACTATAATGCACCGCATAAGCATTTTAAGGCAAAAGATAAATGTCCTTTAACAAGTTAGCAGTAATACTAACAGATCAGCTTTAACCGAGGTAAACCAATTTCACCTTTACACATAACCAGCACCTGAATCTTTTTAATGATTGTTGTGAATAACATATGTTGCCACTACTCCTCAGAAGCACAAGTAAAACTTTATTCTATATACCCAACCAAAATAAACTGTAAATATCAATGTTATCACATAATGCAATTCCAAAACTAAGCACAATAACTATATAGTTTTTTTTTTTTTAAGTTCATAGCAGAAAGTTAAAGTCTTCAAACTAATTCTGAAGGTTTTGAGCTACACATGTTTTCTTGTGAGTGCATGGGATTGTGTGCTTGTGTTCTCGTAAAAATAAGGTATGTATAGTTATGTTTTCTTTTTGTGTAAAACTGTTTGTGTGCATCTGTTTTGGCAACCAGTTGTGGACTTTCTCCAGCATATTGATGTGGCTTTTGAAAATAAGACTTTCAGGGAGTTTTCAGATCTCATGGCTGAGAAACAAACACCCTTTTACCTGACAAAATCTGAGATGCCTTCTAATGTTTTCAACTGCACATTTTGTGATGCCTCAAGTAGAACAAGTCTATAAGATTGTTTAATACAAACTTAATAGGGTTGATATTCGATAAGAATTGTTTGTGTTCTGCATCATTTATGACTGAAAGTTCTGTGATTTCTGGTCATGTACAGTGTGATTGAAAACAGCATCAATGATAGCTAAAAGAGCATTTTCTTAAATTCTACCCATAAAGATATGAAAGAGTTTTGGTCTGAGTTTGACTCAAGTTATTAATAACATGGGGAAATTAAGTAGTATTTAATCAAAATCCCATATAAAATATCAGGCAAGCAAATCAGCTGTCTAAAACAAAAGTTACACATTGTACAGGAACTGAGGAAAAAAATAAATCTGACAATTCATGCATCGGTTTGCTTTGTAAACTGCTCTGACAATAAATCAATAGGCTGCAACTATAATGGTGACATGTTAGTCAACAACCAGGAGTACATAATCACCTTGAAAATTGTGTTTAGCAATGTGTACATACTTGCAGTGCAGACTGCAAAAACCTCTAAACAGAATACTCACCACCACTTCAGCACTGCTGCTGAAACCTTTCCCATAGTCATCAGTGGCAATGACTTCAAACTTGAAGTAGGACCTTCGCATATTTCGAAACATGATGGCTGACTTAATGATTCCAGTGTAGGCCTCGATGACAAAGCTGTTCTGACCCTCTGCTGTGGGAGGTATAATTAGGCGGTATGCCATGGCGCTGAAGTTCCCCGTGTCCTTATCAGTGGCCTGTAATAGAAAAGCAGCAAGCAGTAACAAAGTGGAAAAGAAATTAAAAATGATCAACATAATATTTAGAAAAAAGAGGTCAAATGGCAATGTTGCTCTAAGTGCTCTAATTCGCTTTTAATAAATACCAAGCATGTGCCAAGGTGGCCTAGAGCCATAAGTAATATACCTGCCCATTACCTACTGGAATACATTTAACATGTACTGTGAAAAAGTCCAATTGACACGGTGGAAAAGTATCGTGCTGGTATTTATAAGCAACAAATCCAAATTTGTCCCCAGTGACATTATATGCATCCAATTATTGCGATGTGCCTGACACTTGGTTTTGATGAGGTAGAGCAGAGTGATATTTTCAGAGAAAACAGCAGCCTGGTGTGCTTGATAATGGGAGTGTGGGGACTGAACAAAAATGTTTGGTCAGGCAGTCTAACAATGAGCTCATTTTTAGCTAAAGAAAACCCCCACCAAAAAGCAGGGGGTATATGTATATGTTGTTTAAAATGTACATTTTATTTCAATTTTCACTATCAAGGACTGAGCAAATCTGATCAGCCACTGAGCTCCGATACAAGCGTCTTTTGTTTGTGTATGTGGTGACACTGATAAATTGCAGCAACCTCTCTTTTTTTTTTTTTTTTGTCTTGCAATTTGAAACAGAGGGGGTACACAGTATTGGATGCAGTCTTGAAGAAAGTGCAAAAGTCAATACAGTCAGATATTCTCACCAGAATACATTTTTATGAATTACATTTGCCAACATTACGGATAGAGAGATAAATCCCTTAAATTGTTATGGACACACAGTGAGGTGCTTAAAGTAGAGCACTAGAAGTCTGTGCTTCAGGTTTAGCATACACTTAGTTCTTCTTTACAAGCACCAAAGAATGAACTTTTATGAAATAAGCCTGGGAGCTTCTCATGCTTAAGTACAACTATTCGCAGTTTTAAAAGGCACGGGAACAGGCGGTCACAGGGGAAGCCCAAAAGAGTAATTTGCATTGCCACGAGTCGGATTAGTCTTTGAACAAAATTACGTTTCCCAAGGAAACATACTTTTTTAACCAAAGAACAGATTTATCTGCTTTATTGAACATTCATTATCTTAAGTATGCACTACCAAAATTAAACCTTAAAAACATAATTAAATGCATTCAAAAAACACTTGCAATACCTGTGTGTTTCTGTGGAGCAAAGGGAGACGTAAACTTTTCTTTTCATAACCTTTATCTTCAAATATCATCCAGTGGATGGGGAAAACAGCTCTCAGTTTTTTAAGTATGGCGTATAACGAACTGCCACACTTGGTAGTAAACACTTTGGTGCATTCCAAGTTAAATAAGACAAAAAGAAGTTGCCTTTTTGTTTTATTCCAATACTACATACAAACATTCAACAAAATACTTTGAAAACTTCTGCAATAAACACTCTTATAGAAAGTTTAAATAACCATGTCTACCATTTGGGTTTATACATTATTACTTTACAGAGTAGTTGTCTGGGGTTTTACTGTTGCCCAATCACAAACAATTCTTGATAAGTGACAATGTTTTAGAAAGGAACTTTTGTTTTACTTTTCTGCTTGTTTTCCTGTTGGAGAAGGTACCAAGCAAGGATCTTATTGATGGGTGGATCAATAAAAGCACTGTCACAACCTGTCAGAGTATAGACATCGGATTTTTCTTGCAGCAAAGATTTCACTTCTGTCAGCTAAGCCCAAATGCATCAAAACCGTCAATGATATCTATATTTTTTTTGTTTATTTCATCGTCTGTGAGAGGAAGGCTAGTAATGGCCCCTGGAGCAATACAAGTGAGAAAAATACAAATATTCAGTTAAAATGGTAACTATCAAGAGATATTTTATTATATCTGTACAATAAATAGAAATGCCACTTTGAGAAAAGTTGGAAAGCATCATCTAAAAATTGGTTTTATCAGTTTGCTCTATCTTACACTGTAAGTTAGAGAAAGGCCAAAGCTTCACAAGTTAAATATCGCAGGGGAGCTCAGTAACAAAAACTTATGGCCAACATATTGCAACATATTTCTATTTTTGTATATTGAAGACAATGTGCAGATTTTACCTGCATGTGAATGAAAGTAGACAACAAACAGAGCAAAACTGACAAAGAGATGTAACCAGAGATCGTGGAACAGATCAAACTGTGCGGAGTAAAGCCGATCGGATGAATTGTCACACCAAGGCTGCCAGGGAAGGGAATCAGGCACTCCAGGTTCAGCCAATTCCCTCTACATATACTGCATCAAAAAATAAATAATAAATAAATAAATAACTTATTTTCTATTTTCTTACCACTATTTTGAGAACAGAGCTGAAAATCTTGGTGTCTTCAGTCACACCACCTATGTAGAGCTTTCTGGAGAAGACGGGCGGGTGGTCATTTTCATCCTCTACATAAATAAACACCTTGGCAGTGTTGGCTGCAAAAAGCAAAAAAAAAAAAACAAAAAAAAACAAAGATATAAATGTAAATAAATAAATGAACAAATAAAGTTCTGGATAGACTTTCACTTGAGCTAAAAATGCAGGTCTAATTTCCATTTCTCTTAGGCAATGTGAAACCAAAAAAACTTTGGCATGTACTGTGAGAAACACCAATTTGAGCGAGTCACTGTATTTCAAGAGTCTAATAAGCCAAGTTTGCTGAACCCTCATGCATTTATAAATGAAAAAAAAAGAAGAAAAGAAAGAAGATCGGTTGGGAAACTTTCATCTTTAACAGCCAGAAGCTTATTCAGTCATGTGGCCTGTAGATAATCAGATGCTGCATAATCTGGCCTTGAAACTGTCAGATCAGAGTATGAATAAAGTTCTTCTGTTCCCAAGACTACTCTGAAATGTGTTACTTCATGGAAAATAACACAAAAGTATCTTTTTTTTTCTTTTTTTTTTAAAGAAAACCTTTTTTTTATTTCATACTTTCAAGGATGGTCACTTCTGAAACAATTTCTATCGGGTTTTAAATTGTTATAAAAATGTAAAAAAACAAAACAAAAAAAAAACAAAGCAAAACATGAAAAGCCAACCTTTTCTTAGATAATTTCTAATTGGCTATGATAACTATCTGAAATGATTTTATATATGTTCTTTTTAAAATAGCTCAAAGTCAGTCTGATTGGGTGGAGAATTCATACAGATTATCGAATGGTTTTAGGCCTGGACTTCGACTGGGCCGTTCAGCGCATTGAAATTCTGTGATCTAAACCTTACTATAGCTCTATCAGTTTATTAGCCCTCCTACTGTCTTAGGCTTTCTGACAAAGAAAAATGTGGGAAAGACTCCCTAAATCAATCCATTATTTGAAGCTTTGGATAATCTTAATTAGAACAATTACATCCTACACAGAATGTAAAATTAATCAATGGCCTTTTTAGTGAAGCTTCACATATGTCATTGCTTGCATTTTTCTTAAGCAATCATCAGCACTCATACGATCCCTCCAGGTCTGCCGGTTGGACAAATACAATATCAAGGACCTCTTTTTCTTCACAAAAATGTAAAGTCATCCTGCAGTGAAACTAAGGATGCATCAAGGGAGTTGGAAAGAAACCCCAACACATCACATTAAATTACATACACAGTGGCTACAGTGTGAATCACATATGGACAGGGCTCAAGGGGATGAGTTTATCTCTCCTCCCTCTCTGTTTTTAAAAGTGCCCACACTCCTCAGAGACTTTTAAAACATAAATACAGCAAGTGCCCTTCTCTAGTTCTCTTTTACACACTCAGAACGTAAATGCATGGGAAAAAAAAAAAAACAGGCCCATTAAAAGAAAGGATCGCTTCAGAGAGGAGAGCAGTAAAGGGTGTGTTCCCATCTACAAAGCATGGCTGTCTTACATTCTGACCTTATGATAAATTAATGTGTGTGTACAGAATGTATTACATACATAAACTCTGCACTTGTCCTAAGACTAGCAATCACATACCCAGAGTACTCTCCCTTCTGGGTAAGTGAGATAGTTTCACTGACCCAAAAGTACACCAGTGGTGTACAACCTAACTCAATTATCATAAAAGCTGGTCTTTATTGTGAAGCCTCCGTAATTGGTTACAAGTGAGGAAAGAAAAATCCATCTACCCACTCAAAAACTCTCCCTTATGTGTGAGACAAGAGCCCTCTTATGGTTTCTGTGACTGACTACTGTTTACTTGTAATTACTGTCATTACAATGTGAGGGCCACACAGAGTGAGAAGATGAGAGGCGTGAAGAGCAGGCCATTGATTATTCCTTGACCAGGTTTGGAGGCAGCATATTATTTGTCATCGTAGGGAACTTGTATGTCAATAAACTGGGCATTAACAAGCCTAATGAAAACCTAGATGTAGTAATGATATCAGAGAAAGTGTTATCTAAAGCTTCTGTCAGCTACAAACAAAACCAAATACATCCACAATAGCATTTAAAACTTGTATTTGTGGAAGTACATAGAGAAATCTGTAAAACCCACAATTTAACGCATGTGGAGCCTGAAAAGATTTAGAACTCTAGAATAAAAAATTCTGTCGTTAGCTTGCAGATGCAGTTCAATACAAAAGAGTATACGAAAAAAAAAAAACAAACACTTTTTATACATTTGTTATAAACATAGCAGCATTTTTCAGTTTTTTTATTCTCCTGATTTGGTGGTGAACAACGTAGGATATTTTATTTATGCTTTAAAAATTTTCTTCTTTTTCAATGGTTTTATGATACATTTAAATTATCTAAGGAACTGGGTTTCCAGTTTCTTAGATCGAAAAACCTACCAAAATTAACCATTTGAAATATGCCTCTGTCTGTGAAAGGGAATTATATGAGAGTTTTCCTTAAATGATAGCCTTAAATAATAATGATAATATAAAAATACTAATAGATTAGGCTATTAAGGCCATTTCTAAATTCATATACTTGGACCAACCCAAACTAAGTAATTATATTTTAACAGAAATATGGGAAGCACAACCCTTAAATGAACAAACACATTTTTTAAGCATATTTCACTTAAAGAAAAAGAAAAAGAAAAAAGAAAGCACAAGATGAATTAATTAGATATTCTTTTTCTATGAATAATCTCACACATTCCCCATATAAAGAAGAAGAGCATAAATTAAAACAAATGACGATTAATATACTATTAAAATACATTTGAAGCAGGGACAGATGGATATATGTTATAATAATTATGTATTAGACAAACCTTTTCCAGTAGTTTCTGCTATTGCTGCCCATTTTAAATCACACTGGCATTTTATAGTTAATCTTAAACAATAGGTAAAAAAAAACAAAAAAAACTTACAAACTCACACAGCAAATAATCTATCTGGTTATGTGAAGATGTTGCTTTTCTGTGTCAGAACGTGCAGTGAACATTTAAATCAAATATGATTTTACTGTTATAGTCTATCACAAAACCATGGTAAAACACCTATATTTAAAAGTTATTTCTTACTTTTAGAAGGCACACGCAGGTTGGACATAACAACTCCCAAAGAATCTGCCTGCACCCTGAGAACGAAGCTGGTTATATTCTCATAGTCCAGAGGTTGGGCAATGGAGATGACACCTGTGCTGCTGTCCACTTTAAAGTGACCTGCAAACAAGAAAACATGTTGACTATTAAAAAAGAGGGTTGTTTTCCTCCTTTTTATTTCTGCTTTTGATTGAATTTGATATTTGTCACTTTTCAAATGTAAAATAATTTTTGCTTCTCTTTGCCAACAAGTTTAGCAAGCCATTTAAAGTCTGAGTGCAACAGAAATGTGATTTCCTATATCTATGCAAAGATGGAGTTAATATAAACTCTGTCGCCTTCAATATTAAGAAAAATCCTGTTGGATTTTTTTTTCCTCAGGGACACCTTACAACAAAAAACAAAACTCATTCTCAGTATATGGTAGTACAAACAATTTTGCATCTAAGATGGGAGTTTCTCTCTAATCAAATAACAAATAAAAGGCAGTTTTCTTCAAAGCCGCAGTCTGTGTCACAGACAATCCCAGGTAGGAAGTGTGTGGAAAAGCCTTTTTGTATCTTGTACCCAGAGAAAATTCAATTAGTCTTCATTTCCTGCACCGTATTTGATCTGTAGGCCATACCTAGTTCATTTCCTCCAACAATGGAGTAGAAGATGGTTTGATTCATAGCAGCAGCTAAAATAGTCCCCACTGCAGTGCCAACTGGAGACAGCTCTTTCACTGGCAGAAACCTGGAAAGACATCAAACAACTAGTAAGGCAGCCATTGGTCAAATCAGTATAAAGAAAGTAGAAGAAAGTATAACTGAATGGTCAGTTGTTGTGTCCAACAAAAATGTATGCACTATGCGTCAGTGTTGTATATTTTCT